CGTGCGCATGGCATACCTCTCGGTCATTGGCGGCCACACCGTGAATGGAGTTGCGGAGATTCACAGCGAGATTGTCAAGGATGATGTGAGCACGTCGCTTTCTGCATGTGCACTCCTTTCTCTCTTTGCCCTCAAAAAATGAGGCCTCAGTAAGCCACAGCAAGGGCACCCATGGATGCAACAAAGTTCTTGAAGGCGCTGGGCCGACAGAAGCAAGAAGAAAGCGGAGGACTTCCTTGCGTCAGTGAAGGCCGCGCCATTTTGAGTAGGGTGCACGGGGAACAGTCTTACGGTTGCTGTTACTTGACCGAGTGTCGCCTCCTGTGCAGGTGTTCAACGGCTTCTACAAGCTGTGGCCCGACAAGTTCCAGAACAAGACCAACGGTGTGACCCCGCGCCGCTGGCTGGCCTTCTGCAACCCGGAGCTGAGCGCCGTCATCACCAAGTGGCTCGGCTCCGACGACTGGATTGCCGACCTCGACCGCCTGGAGGAGCTCCGCAAGGTGAGCACACGCTGCACTTCCACCTCGCACTGACGACCTGAGTTCCCCAATCATGATTCGCTTCCAGTGTCAAATTCTAGATCTTCATAACATGTGGCGGAGTCGGGCTTCTGATCTTCCAAAGGGTCTGGATCTTTACCTGTAGAGTGGCTCGGATGTGATTGCCGCCTCGTGTGGGGTGATGGCCACGATAACATCTTCTTTCGTTTGGTTCTGAACCGGCATATTGATTTGCATGCACGTCGCCTGTGCCTCCTTACCAGTTTGCTTGACAATTTCTGCTTGGAGTGTGAATTTCTTGTGTCTGCCAAGTCTGCGCCAGCTTCTGGAAAGCCTGTCCGATCGACTCGAGCTCAATCGTAAATGTGGCCAATGATTAAATCACACTTACATACCATCTTTCGGATCTTAGCAACTACGGTTGTGCAGAGAAAGATAGTATGAGGCCAGAATACAGTGGATTGCGGACTGTCGCTACTTGACTTTTCCGTTCTGTGACGAAAGTCGGAAGACGTCCGTTGGCTTTGCTTGGTTTTCCGTTCGTTGCTGAAGTAAGATGCTGGTCAAGAGGAACCGGGCTTCTTGTGTGCGAGTCTGCGTCCGCATGATCTCGTATCGAGCTTTTGAGTCCGAGGTTCTTGCATCACTTGGCAATCCTTTAATCCAGCCCTTTTAGTAACGTACGTCCCCTGGGAAAAAAAGCGGAAGCAGCGTCGGCTTTCACGACCTGTTTTCTCGTCACACCTCAGGCAGAGCAAACTGCTGATCCATTTCAAAGTGGTGAGCCCCCGTCCCATACATGGCGAGGAGGTTCAATCCGTGGTGCTACATCCCCTGCGTCGCCCCTTGTGGCCGGCTGTCTGACCCCACCTGCCTTCTTATTGATGCTCTTGTACTGCCAGGTGCCGCGACTTTTGATAGAGACTCTGACGAAACGTCCACATCGAGAAAGTAAAAGTAGCTGACCAGGTGCCTATCAATGTCAAGTGCACACGAAGTTGCTTTCTGAGGCTCGAAAGCTTTAGACTGGTGGATGACAAAAACCTCTCCCACTTGAGCGGGAGTCCAATTTGACACCTTGAGTCCGAGCCTATAGACGATGGAAGTATGATAAGAAATTCAAGTTTGAGAGTAGAAGCGTACACGTTTCTGACGGATGTCTCTTTGTGCAATTCTTCTTCTTTATGTGGGATCATTTTCTGTAACGTCTTTCGGAGCTCTTGCTTTGTGCCCAATGATGAGATAAATACTGCGTTATCTTTCCTACAGCTTCACAGCCTTGCGGAAAACCAACAAACGCTCTGAGGGCTCATCGTAATCGGTTCCCTACTTCTCATTTCTTACAATTTGGAACATGCTGCTGACCAGGGCTTCGAGCGTTCTTGTTCGATTTGTCCACGTTCGCAAGATATTACGCTTCTCGTTTGCATATCAAAGTTGGCCCCTTACAGGAGAAGTCCCCTTTGAAAGGAGAAATCTTACGAATAGCAAGTTTCGATCTACTTCATCCTTTCTTCTGGCATTTCCTGCTTGCCGAGCACCTTTTACCGTCTTCTAGGCGGTGGACACGAACAACATAGAGCCGTTGCCTGAAGCACAGCGCAACCCATTGGGAACCAAGACTCGGGCCCCCTTTTGCTTTTCGCTGCGTTCTCACGTCTGGCCCTTGGTGCGTGCAGTATGCGGACGACCCGAAGCTGCAGGAGGAGTGGACGGCGGCCAAGGTGGCGCAGAAGCGCAAGCTGACGGCGTGGCTGGCAGAGACGACGGGCGTGACGGTGAACCCGGAGTCCATGTTCGACATCCAGGTGAAGCGCATCCACGAGTACAAGCGGCAGCTGCTCAACATCCTGGGGGTCATCTACAAGTACAAGAAGCTCAAGGAGATGCCCGCCCAGGAGAGGAACAAGGTGAGCCGGCGCGCAGGAGCTGTCATCAGTCGTCTGGACAGGTTACTGCTTGCAGCAAGTCTGTCACGGGGGAGCGCTTCGTATTTGCCTGACCCGTCAATGTCCATCGATATCGCGTTCTGTAGCAGTTTCCAGTGAAAAGCGTCACTTCTGGCTGCTATTGCGGATGTCCAGAGGCGAATGGCATCATGAGGTGCTTAGCAGATCTGTGTACTCCGGCTAACGCACCTCCCCCTGAGTCGCAGCACGCCGCTTTCAAGTGTCATCCTTCGGACGGGTTGCAGGCGCCGTGCGCTGACCCGTACGTGTTGTTGGCATGCAGACGGTGCCGCGCGTGGTGATGTTCGGCGGCAAGGCGTTTGCGACGTACTGGCAGGCCAAGCGCATTGTGAAGCTGATTACGGACGTGGGCCGCGTCGTCAACAGCGACCCCGACATCGGCGACCTGCTCAAGGTCGTGTTCGTGCCCAACTACAACGTCACTGTCGCAGAGAAGCTCATCCCCGCGGCAGAGCTCTCGCAGCACATCAGGTGCGTGAAAACAGGGTGGCTGGTTTGTCTGTGGTCTTCGCAAAGCGCAAAGTTGCGTCTTGAAGTGGCTGATGCTTGTATAGGGTATGCGGCCTGCTTGTTGTTCAGCTGCTTCACGAGTACAGTCTAGGGGGACTCAGCGGCCAAGTCATCGGCTGGCTTGCTGCGGAAGAACCGACTAAAACCGAGTAGAGCTGACTGAACCCAGCCGCTGTCCGCTTGCAACATTGGCTGCATGAATGACGAACTCAGCCCGCCTTTTGCCACCGATGGCGTTTGGTCGACGGTTTGGGGCATATCCGCAGCTTTTTGTAGCTGCTGAAGTGCTGCTCGTGGCACTTTTTGCTGCGCAGCACTGCGGGCATGGAGGCGAGCGGCACGAGCAACATGAAGTTCGCGCTCAACGGGTGTCTCATCATCGGCACGCTGGACGGCGCCAACGTGGAGATCCGGGAGGAGATTGGCGAGGACAACTTCTTCTTGTTCGGCCGATACGCGCACGAGATCAAGGGCCTGCGCCAGGACCGGGCCGAGGGCAAGGTCAGCACCCCGCAGCCCCCACGGTCAAGGCTTCATGATGCACAGCAGGAGCACGCGTCGCTTGTGGTCGCTCAGTTTGTGCAAACGGCAGCGGGATAAGCTGCGGCGCCTCGTATTGGGCCCAGATGTCTGAATGGAAGCAGCGCTCGATTTCTGTTCAGTTGTTGCTAAGGCTTTGGGGTGATGTTTCTGCGAGAGGTAGCTTTGAGCCGGGGGTTGGAAGCAGCTTGCGACCGTCGGCCAAAAATGTGTAAAGCCGCATCTACTTTCATCTTTTCGGAACCGAAGCGCTTCCCTTCCGAGGCAATCCTCAAGCCTGTCTTTGATCCGAATACCTTAACGGAAGTGCTGCGTCCAGTCCTTGCCGACTTGCCCTTGCCGCTGACCGTGCGCTGTGCGCGCTGGTGCAGTTCGAGCCGGACCCGCGCTTCGAGGAGGCCAAGGCGTTCATCCGCGCGGGCACGTTCGGTGACTACGACTACGAGCCGCTGCTGGACAGCCTGGAGGGCAACGAGGGCTTCGGCCGCGGCGACTACTTCCTCGTCGGCGTCGACTTCGCCTCCTACCTCGAGGTCAGCACATCGTGCACACGGACGGTTTCGCCTGCCCGCACCGGCTGGCGGGGCAGGCCTCCCTGTCGGCCGCCTGAATTATCTTGACGGATCACTCGTGAACGATATGTCAGGTTGATCTCAGAGGATAAAGGCCAAGCAGTTCATCGGTCCGTCAGGACTCTACGCTGAGAGTTGGCCGTCCCTGTCAAGCATGGGCAAGGAACGCGGAGTATCAGCTTATAGACCACTTCATTGCTTGTAGCCCGCAGCTTCCCCTCACGTGTCCGACGGCGCACTTTTATCCTCTGTTTAACACAGCAAAGCGGTGTTTTTAACGAACGTGCCCCGGGTAACGAGCACATAGCCCACTGCCGTTCAGCGCAGGCCGTTGGCTCTCAGATTGCACCCTCTAGCGAGATGCAGCGGCCAGCTAGGCGGTGTTTCCTTCATCATCTCTGTCCTCCCTCCTGATTCCCGGCTATTTTGCGTGAACGTGTGCAGGCTCAAAAGGAGGTGGATGCCGCCTACCAGGACAAAGCAGGCTGGGCCAGAAAGTCGATTCTCTCCACCGCAGGCAGCGGCAAATTTTCATCGGGTAAGGATTGTTGTGTGGAGACTGAATGCCTACGGTTCCATCTTTGGTCTGCCTCTGTAGCGCTGGTGATTTTTGGTAATGTTCGAATGAGCTGCGTATGGGAAAGCTGATACTGTGTAGGACTTAGAAGGTGGACCGCGTCGGTGCCAAGACCATTCGATGCAATCCGGCTGATTGAACTTTGCTAGATTCTGCCATGCACCTGTGCGGTATTTGACTACCGTACTGCTATTTATTTTCGGCAAAAAATAAATAATTATCCGGCCTGCCAAAAATTTCAGAAAATACTTTGAGGCGATAATTGTTCGATAACGGTTATTTTAGCAGGTAACCACTGGTCTGCCGAAAGGATAGAAAGTTTCATAATTAATTATTCGGCGTCGAAGGTGCTGAAATCAAATAGCAGTACGGTATCTTCTACAAGTAGTGCAATGGTTCATCCTTCTTCAATGTAAAATTGTCAGACCCTGTACGCCTTTTGCTCTCTGCAGATCGTACGATTCGTCAGTATGCTGACGAGATCTGGAAGATCAAGCCATTGCCAGTGCAATAATGACTTCCACCGGCAAACTCACGGCAGTCTGCAATGTACATTGACACATAGTGCACTCAAGATTTGAAGATGTTGAAAGTCCTTGCAAATCATCTACGCTGCTTCAAAGTTGAAAATGATGCAAGTTGAGTGACTGATTGGTTACCAGAACAGCAAATACAGGTCTTAGTAGATACAATTGAAAGCTCTCAATTGCATATTGGCGTAACCTAAGTTACCCCTTCGTGTGGCACTGTATGCACAGATTCAGTAGTGGGATTGCTCTGCAACAGTAAAACAATAAAGTGAGTCTCAGCTTGGGCTGGCATTAAACTCGCATCGTTGCAAGTTTACTCACTTTTATAGCAATCACACTGACGATACTTACGAACACCGTGGCACACTAACGGCCGTGATCGACCCCAATAACTGCGATTGAATGCACACCATAGATTGGTCTATATCACAATTGTATATAGGCCGGCGGGGCCGTGGCGCCTGATCGGCAGTGCATGCATGTAGATTGGATTGCAATTCGATATACATGCACTGATCATTCGCTATAGGCCGGTCGACCTCTGTGTAAGGTATCAGTTTCCAATTAATAATTACTAGTAACGCTGCCGGACGCAAATCAATTTCATTGGACTCGGGATTCATCCGCCCAGCAAGATATGCATATACAATCGCAATCATGCAGCTAGCAATAGATCGTCTATATAATTCGTGATCGGTTGATTGCATGCCCTTGCACTGTGACACTGAGTTTGAATGTAACGATTACGACTGGTT